AATAATAGCCAGTGTTTATATAGCACTTTAAGGTTTGCAAAGTACTAGAGACACACACACACATACACACACATGCACGCACACACACACACATGCTGCATGTATGTGTGTGTACATTTATATATCATTTGATCCTCACAAGAATCCTGAGAGGGAGGTGCTATTATTATCACCTCATTTTACAGATGAGAAGACTGAGGCTGAGAAATATTAAATGACTTTCCCAGGGTCATACAGCTATGAAGTTTCTGAGGCAGGATCTGAACTCAGTTCTCACAGTTTCCAAGTCCAGCACTCTATCCATAATTCCACCTACGCTGCCTCTAGCATCTCACTTTGGAGGATCCTACCTATCTTTCCTCCGAACCTTTTGAAATCTGATTTCCTAAAATCTAGGATGCATCTTAGACTATGACTGGATTTCCTTTCCTCTATCACAAACTCTGCAGAAGGCTATTCACTTTCCCTAAAGTTCTCATAATCCCTACCTCCTTTTTTGTGAAATCCAGAATAGAATTTTCCCTGTTGTTTCATCCACCTTTTGAAGGATGAAAGTTTCCCCAAAAAATCGGGTTCATGAATGAAATAGTTGAAAAATCAAGAAAGGGAAGTGACGATTACAAGATATTAGGGGTGGCATGAAGAAAAATACTGTCCACCTTCGGAAAGAGAAGTGATCAACTCTGAGTGCAGATTGAAGCAGACTTTTTTCACTTTATTTTTCTTGCCTTTTTCCTCCAACATGGCTAATGTGGAAATATGTTTCGCATGATTTCACATGTATAACACTCTATGCATTATGAACCTTCTTTAAATTCTCATCAGCTCTAACAAGACATCTGTGTTATGCAAGATCATCGGTGAGATGAGGAAGATGCATTAGTTGAGAGATATAGCACAGCAAAGTAGAAGGAACATTGGGTTTTCAGTCTGGATTCAAATACTGGCTCCCAAAAACAACATCAATAATAGCTAGCATTTACATAGCATGGTTAAGGTTCTCAAAGCATTGTCCATATCTTATCTCATTTGATCCTTACAACAACTCTGAGAAGTAGATGCTATTATTATTCTCATTTTATGAATAAGAGGAAAATGACAGATAGAAGTTAGATGACTTTCCTAAGGTTACACAGCTAGTAGGTATCTGAGTCAGAATTTGAACTACGGTCTTCCTGACTCTAGGTACAGTACTGTATCCACCATACCATTTAGCTGCTTAATTGTGTGATTTGGGGCTAATGACAACTTCACTGAACCACAGTTTTTTTTTTTTACCTTTAAAATGGGGATAGTAATACCAACTGCTTCACAGAGTTGTTGTTAGGAAAGCTCTTTATAGACTTTATAGCCCAATTCAATTCCCAGGAGTTCAAAATCGTATGTTTTAAGCTCCTTTCTAGCTCTAACATGCTACGTTCTTCATTCCAGCCCTGCCATTCTGTGTTGAAACACCTCCCTTTGTTAGCTGGGAGACTATCCAGCCACTGCCTGCTGACTCTGTTGGTTGGCTCTGGATGACTTGTTTAATTGGACTGTACGCAACTGTTCACATTCAGCTGTCAAGAAGGATGACTCTGTTTAAAATGGAAAAAAAAAAATCCCATCTCCCCTGAGGTATGGCCCTTAGCTGCCAGGAAAACCACTGTTTTCCTTGGAAACTTAATCTGGACAGCTCATCCAGGTTGTCCAGATAGCCAAAACAGTATGCAGGCATCCATTTGGATCAAAATCCATTCCAAAAATTTGTCCTGAAGACTGCTTGGATTTTTGTTGATGGAGAGCTTGGCACCATTCTTGTATCTTGTGAGGCAAACTTGATTCCAAACATCATGCAGGGAATCAAAAGAGTGCCCCACTTTGACCCCTTTACTCAGTGTCTTACCTTGGATAAGTACAATGACCTCTCTGGGGACATGAGCTAGAGGTGGTGAGAGGCAGTTTGGTGTAACAACAATAACAACATCATTTATATAGCATCTTAAAGTTTGCAAAACACTTCATAAGTATCATCTCATTTTATATTCACAACTCTAGCACATGGATGTTCATTTTACTGATAAGGAAACTGAGGCTGAGAGAAATAAAATGACTTACTTAAGGTCATACAGCTAGTACATATCTGAGGCAGAATTAAAACTCAGGGCTTCCTGACTCTTCATTTCAACAGCTTTCATCTTTTTAAAAAATATTTATTTATTTTTAGTTTTCAACATTCATTTTTATAAGACTTTGATTTTTAAATTTTCTCTCCTTCTTCCCCCTTCCTCAAGACAGTGTGCAATCTGATATAGGTTATACATGTACAATCACATTAAACATATTTCCACATTAGTCATGTTGTAAAGAAGAATTAGAACCAAAGGGAAAAACCATGAGAAAGAAGAAAAAACAAAAAACAAAAAACAAAGAGAGAGAGAGAGCAAATAGTATGTTTTGATCTGCATTCAGAATCCGTAGTTCTTTCTCTGGATGTGGATAGCGTTTTTCATCATGGAACTATCTTAGATCATTTCGTTGCTGAGAAGAGCTAAGTCTATCAAAATTGGTCATCGCGAAATGTTGACTCAATAGCTTTCATCTTAAAGTTTCTTCTGGGTTTAAGTTTGAATGGCCTAAGCTCTAATATTTATGTTCTAAGGTCCATTCTGATCCTAAAATTCTATAATCTCTTGTCTTGTTCCAACATTGGAGAGGCAGCATGGTATATTGCAAAGAGTAAGGGACTTTGACTTATCTCCAACATTTTGTAGCCTTATTCTGTCCAGAAAGTCACATAATCACCCTGACTCACAATTTCCTTATCTATTAAATGTGGATGACATGCCTGTAATATTTCCCTCACAGCATTAAGACTTCTTTTTTCTGGGGCAACTAGATGGCGCAGTGGATAGAGCACCAGCTCTGGAATCAGGAGTACCTGAGTTCACATCCATCTTCAGACACTCAACACTTACTAGCTGTGTGACCCTGGGCAAGTCACTTAACCCCTTGCCTAGCCCCCCACCCCAAAAAAAGACTTCTTTTTTTCTGACTTTTAAAAAATGTCACAAGAAGAGTGTGCCATGAGTGTCAAATGAATGTATGTAAAATACTTTGCAATCTGTAAAGTGCTATAGTATATAAATATCACCTATTATTTTTGTTAACTTATCAAAACATTTCAAGATACAGAGAAAAACAAGGGAGAGAATCATATAAGAAACTGTGAACAACTCTTGTTCAGTTGTTTTCAGTCTCTTTGTGACTTCGTTTGAGGTTTGCTTGGCAAAGATACTGGAGTGGTTTGCCATTTTCTTCTCCAGCTCTTTTTACAGGTGAGAAACTGAGGCAAACAGGATTAAGAGATTTTCCCAGAGGTACGTAGCTAGTAAGTGTCTGAGGCCAGATTCAAACTCATGAAGATGAGTCTTCCTGATTCCACGCCCAGTGCCGCCCAGTGCTCTATCTACTTCACCACCTAAATGTCCCTGATCCTACAAAGAAGGGCTTCTGTTAAATCAATAATGTACTACTTGTGTGGTGTTGAGAAGCTATTTGTACTACAAAGAGGGGCTACAGAAAAGTAAAGATGTCCTCCGAGTGAGGCTGGAAAACTATTGGTATAACAAAATGGGATCAAAGTAAAGCAAGGAAGGTAAGGGTGGGGAAAGCATATGAAGTGCTAGCCACTATGCTAAAATTCCACTCATTGGGGCTGTAACATTGAAAGGTGAGTATCTTCATGTCCGGGCTGATGGGGTCCCTTCATTGGGCAGTTCTTATCTCCTAATTCTTGCAGAATCATACTAGATGCCAGTTTGTGTCTGTCTTTGTAGGTACAATCAGCTTCTGATGGGTAGGGATTTAAGGCATCACACAATCCTGTTACTGTTGGCTGAATGGCTTCCCTAAACTATTGCAGAACTGCTTCATCTTTCTCTTGGCAACACCTGACTTGTCTTTTCATTGAGGCTTACCTGTTGACATAGTTCACCCTTGTGGAAAGTCCTTATTAAGGCAATGCCGATGAGCTGGCTGAGTAGATTTCTGATTGTAAGCCCTGGACAATTAATCAGGGGGGAGTGGAGTGAGGGTGGGGTGTGGAAATGGGGAGGTCTGGGCAGATTTCCACAAACGACCAAATTAAATAACTGAATGTGATAATCACTGAAGAATTAGAATACACATGATAAGAAGTGAACATATTGCAGACCCGGTTACCTTATGGGCCCAGTACAGAGAAAGGGGAAAGGAATAATCATTTATATAGCACTAAGTATCAGCAAGGCATCGTGCTGCGGACTTTACAGATATTTTCTCATTTGACCCTCATAACAGCCCCGGCACATGAGTACTGTTGTTATCCCCACTTAACAGCTGAGGAAACAGAAGAAAACAGAGTGATTGGCCCAGGGTCACAAAACTAGTAAGTTTCTGAGGCCAGATTTCAAACAAGGTCTTCCTGACCCCAGGCCCAGGGCTCTATCCCCTGTACAATCTAGCTGCCAATACAGATTGTAAACTCAGTGGATCTACTGTGGGATACAGCAGCCATGAAAGCTAATGCAATATCAGGCTGTATTGAGAGGTCTAGTGTTCAGGAATAAGGAGGTGATGATAGCATAGTATTTTTGCCCTGGTCAGACCACATCTTAAGTTTTGTGTTCAGTTCTGGGTATCACATTTTAGAGAAGACATTGATAACTGAGAAATTGTCCACAAAAGTACAACCAAAATAGTGAAGGAACTTGACAGGCACCATAGAGTGCTAGGTCTGGAGTCAGGAAGACCTAAGTTCAAATCCAGCCCCAAACACTTATTAGCTCTATGACCCTAGGAGAGTCATTTAACCTCATTTGTCTCAGTTTCCTCAACTGTAAAAAATGGGAAGAATAATAGCACCTACCTCATACAGTTGTTGTGATAATCAAAGGAGGTAGTATTAGTAAAATTGCTTAGCACAGTGCTTGCCACATTGTAGACTCTATGTAAATGTTTATTTCTTTCTCTTTCCCCCTCCTTCCCTTCTCCCCTTTAATTTCAAATGAAGAATAGTTAAAGAAACTAAGAATGTTCAACATGGAGGAGATGTGTGAGCTTTCTTCAGGCAGCTGAAGGACTGTCACGTGGAAGAGAGATTAGACTTCTTCTCTTGGCCCCGAAGGACAGACCTAGGAACAATGGGTTATATAGAAACACATTTAGATTTGTTGAGAAGAAATACTTCCTAACAATTAGAATTATCCAAACATAGAATAGGACTGCATTAAGAAGTAGTGGATTCCAAAGGGCAATAAAACTGTGCATATCCTTTGATCCAGCAATACCACTACTAGGTCTGTATCCCAAAGAGATTTTTTTTTAAAGGAAAAAAACCTATTTGTACAAAAATATTTATAGCAGCCCTTTTAGTGGTGGCTAAGAAGTGGAAATTGGGGAGATGCCCATTAATTGGGAAATGGCTGAAACAAGTTGTGGAATATGATTGTAATGGAATGCTATTGTGCTATAAGAAATGATGAGCAGGCGGATTTCAGAAAAACCTAGAAAGACTTACATGAACTGATACAAAGTGAAGTGAGAAGAACCAGGAGAACATTGTACACAGTAGCAGCAATATTGTAAAATGAACAACTGTGAATGATTTAGCTATTCTTAGCACACAATCATCCAAGACAATCCCAAAGGACTCACGATGAAAAATGTTATCCACCTCCAGAGAAAGAACTGATGTCATCTGAATACAGACCAAAGCATACTATTTTTCATTTTCTTTCTTTCTTTTTCTTTGAGTATTCTTGCACAAAATGACTAATATGGAAACGTTTTACATGATCACACATGTTTAATCTATATCAGGTTTCTTACTGTCTCAGGGAGGGAGGAGAAAAGAGAGGAAGGGATAGATTTTGGAACTCAAAACTTAAAAAAAAACCCACAGCAAATATTAAAAATTGTTTTTACATGTAATTAGGGGAACAATAAAATATTATTTTAAAAAAAGTAGTGGGCTCCTCCTCACTGGAGTTCTTCAGGCAAAGGGTGGACGACCCCTTGTTGGTTATGGTGTAGAGAGGATTCTCATTTAAGTACAGGTTGAAACTAAATGACTTTAGAGGTAAATTCTAACTTGAAGAGTCTGTGAAATTATGCATCATAGATCACAGAGCCTCTTCCTGAGAAATACCTTCACAAGTCAAAGAACACACTAATATAAACACAGAGATACATTGAAGGAGGAAAGAGAGGAGAGGGCACATACACACACCCTTATATGCCCACACATATCTGCATATTCATATGAAGATATATCAATGAATCAGTCCTTTCCAGAACTGCCTGTTTGTTCCCTTAGTCATTCCTCCCTCTCTAACCACTTGGTCTATGATGATGAATTCTTCCACTCCCTTCTCACTTCCTTTCCCCCTCCATCCTGGGGGCTGCTAGCCAGAAAGAAAGAAGTTGAACTTTCCTCATTCATTTAAGATGAATTATGCCTAAAAATGATACAGGTTCCCCAAATCTTCCCCACATCTTTCCCCAGACCCTTGGATATCTAAAAAACTTCTATAACTTAAATTAAAGCCATTTCACAGAATCCATTGTAAAAAAGAATCATAACCTAGAATGCAAAGTAAAGTTTGGTCAAAAAGTTTAAAAGAGGGCAATTAGGGTTATAGACCAGATCTGATTCAGGATAGTCTGGTGCTCTAAGTTAGAAACTGAGATGAAATAAGATACTTGAAGACCATGACAGATAACAAAAAGTGGTTTACTTAGCAATAGCAGAGAAAGGATATTCAGCAAGCACGCAGTAGTGATTCAGATAGGCACAACTTCCCTGCCTTCCCGGCTGCATTGATCGGCTTGAGGAATTCCTAACTGTACACTTGTTAACTTTTTACTTAGGCCAGCAGGAAGGGATTAAGGGCTTAGAGTTTTGGGTCAATTAGGGCTCAAGACCAATTCTAATGCCTTCTAAGAAAAACAAAAACAAAAAACTGGCCTCATCTGTGGGAGTAGGGGCTTGGACTACTGGCCATACCACTCACCCACCCTGAAAGGAATGGACTAGACTTCTGAAATTTCCTCTGGTTCTTACATTCTATAAGTTCCCATCCACTGAGTCACCTAACAGCTCTGTTACATAGTTTAATATAGATAGATGATAGAGAGTTATAGATATATATATATATATGTATACACACACATACAACATATATATACATACATACATATATATGAAATCTAACATGGTAGTAATAAAATTGCTTTGTGTCACCTTCTCCATATTTTTCTTATCTTAATTTTTAAAAAATACTTTATTGATACTTTTTCCCCACTTCTATCACCATCCATTAACATTCTTTCCCTCCCCCAAGGAGCAACCCTCCCTTGTTATAAATATATATAGTTGAGTAAAACAAGTCAACACATTGACCAGGCCTGAGAATACTTTTCTGATTCTGTTCCTCTAGTCTATCACCTCTCTTCCAAGAGTGCATGTGTGTGTGTGGGCGGGGGGTAGGGGAGGTGGGGTGGGTGTGGTGGGGTGGTGTGTGTGTGTGTGTGTGTGTGTGTGTGTGCGAGCGTGGTTGATCATCAGTCTTTTGAAGTCTTCATTAGTCCTTGGTTTGGTCAGAATTCTCAGGGCTTTCAAGGTTGTTTCCATCACTTTATTATTGTGTTCATTGTGGCATTGTTCTCCTGATTCTGTTTATTTCACTCTGCATCAGTTCACATAAATCTTTCCATATTTCTCTGAATCTATTACATTCATCATTTCTTATGACAAAATATACCACTAAATTCATAACATAATTTCTTGAGCTATTTTTCAGTTGATGGGTAACCAACCTCCTCAGTTTCTAGAAACTGAAAGTGTTGATACAAATATTATTGGTTAATTTTATGTTCTAATATTTAATGGTTTAAAATTCTTTTCAGCTCCACCATTCCATAATAATATAACTTCCTTATAAGGCAGTTTGGTAACTTAACATGACAGATCATTTCTTTTCACCAGAGTGACCCTGACCAGCATGTATTACAAGGATGGGGTTATAGCCATGGAGAGGCCCCATTGAACTATTATTTTGACATTTTTTAAAGTTGGAAAGAGAAGACTTTTAAAACTTGGTGGAATGCAAGGATGATCATTTTATTAATATTATGTGCTTAGGTACAATAAAACTTTATTTCAGGCTACTGAATTCTTGGCCTTAAGACACTGAAGTTGAAAAAACCAAAATAACCCAAATGCATTTTTTTAAACTGGCTAATCCCCTCTGTTCCTGCCTTTTAAATTTACCATATGTAAATACCAGAAGCAGAATTTAATATCATTAAAAACAAAGGACTTCCAAGTGTTTGAACAACTAAAAAGATACAGAGATTTTCCTCTCTTAAAAATAATGGTTTTAGCAGTCTTGTCCTGGGTTCAATAAAGGGCAGATAAACTGAGGGGCTCTTGGGGACCCAGGTCAGTCTAGATTCTTCACGGCCTGTGAATTTTCCTTTCCTTGTATATTGCTAAGGAAAAAAGGGAAGAAATTTTCCTATATGATTCAAGAATAAAAAAGTAATTTTTTCACTTTTCTGTGAGGGCAAAGCTGGTAGCAGAATGAACACTGAATTTGGATCAGAAGACCCAGATTCAAATTCTTCCTCTATTATTTTCTTCCTGTGTGACCTTGGAGCTAACTTGTCTGAGTCTCAGTTTCCTCATCTGGTTAAATAAATAAGGCAGTTAGACTAAATGATCCTTAAGGTCTCCTCTAGTACTGAATTCTAGGATCCCAAAATCATCAAACACTTTTCATCATGTGACCTCCCTCTTCCAAAGTTTTAAACTTCCCCTTTCCTATCCCATTGAAATTGAAACTCTGTGGCATTTATAGGAAGAGGTAGAAGGTAAAGGATCATCCATTACTTGTTTTCCCAAAAGTACATCCAATTTCTTTTGACTTCTCAACATACTAGAATTGTTTTGGGGGATATCTTCAAAAGAATCACTTTGTATTTATTCCTACATATATTCTATATTTACTTGCCAATGGCTATAGTGTACTGCTACAGTAGCATATAAGTTCTTTGAGGGAAGGTACTCTCACTTTTCCATTTATATCCCCAGAGCTTGGCACATAGTACATATGTGATAAATTCTTTTTGACTGATTGGTCTATCTCTTTGTGGTCCCCTAAATACATCTTGTTGGTCTCTGCCTTCATTCATGTTGCTCTCCCTGGTGTTTAGAGAATGTCTGAGCTGATCTGCAAAGATAAAATGTTGGAACAAGAAGCTTGAAGGGACCTTAGGACATAAATATTAGGATTAAGGCATTTAAGTGTCACAGTGGATAGAGCACTGGACCTGCAATCAGGAAGACCTGAGCTCAAATATGGCCTCAGATACTTACTACCTATGTAACTTTGGGCAAGTCACTTAACCTCTGTTTGCCTCAGTTTCCTCTACTGCAAAATGGGGATAATAATAGCACTTACCTAAATGGGTGGTTGTGAGGATCAAATGAGATCATATTTGCATTTATGAAATACTAGCTATTATTATTAATTAGGAATTTAGACTATATAACAGAATACTAGAACTAGAAGGAACCTTTAAACACAGAATATTGGAACATCAAATTCTAGAATTGGAAAAGATGTTTAAGTTCACAGGATCATAGATTCTAACCTAAAGGGACCTTAAATATCACCTAGTCAACTCTCTTAATTTTTATTGAGGAAGAAATTGAGACACATAAAGATGAAGTGCTATAGTCACACAATTTAGGAAAAAGCAGAAAAAGTATTTGAACCTAAGTGGGCTGACTCACCTCATGTTGATCTCAAATCCAAATAGATCATTTTACAGCAGAAGAAACAACCTCGATTCTTCACGGCCTGTGAATTTTCCTTTCCTTGTATATTGCTAAGGAAAAAAGGGAAGAAATTTTCCTATATGATTCAAGAATAAGAAAGTAATATTTTCACTTTTCTGTGAGGGCAAAGCTGGTAGCAGAATGAACACTGAATTTGGAACGGAAGACCCAGATTCAAATTCTTCCTCTATTATTTTCTTCCTGTGTGACCTTGGAGCTAACTTGTCTGAGTCTCAGTTTCCTCATCTGGTTAAATAAATAAGGCAGTTAGGTGGGGAAACCTCAGTTTCCCCACCTGTAAAGTGAGTAAGGAGGCTTAACTAGATTATCAAGTCATCTTGTATCTTCTTTATGCTGGCATTCTGTTTCATATTTTAACAGTTTGAGTTTTTAGATGTTTTCCATCAGGCATACCGTGGCTTAAAATTCCTCCCAGTTCTAAAATTAAGGACGAACTCGGCTTAACCCAAGGCATGCTGTGGAAACCACCATCAGTCCATTACAGAGAAGACAATGTAACTAGCATTTGGTTGATTTCCTCCTTCCGCGGGAAACAAGTGGTGAAATAGATAGGCTTTGCCTGTGGTAATGTGCTGCGAACAACGTTCATTTCTGAATCAGGACCAGAGCCAAGTTTCACAATTATCCCACCTCCCCCTCCCCATCAAGGCTGGTACTAACCCCTCCTCCAACCCCTGGATTGTCCTGTTGTCTCTCCACATCTGCTGTGGCAGAGAGTTTAGGCAGGGCAGGGTTGCCCTCATGAAATTTTTTTTTTTTTTTTTTTGCTGGCTTCAGGGTTTTTTCCGCTTGAGTGAATTTTTTTAAAGGGGGGGGTGGTGGTGTAGCTCGCAGCTGTCTGCCTAGGGTGGGGGCTGGCAAAAGCAGCGAGAAACATTAACGGGGCGGAGAGAGGAGAGTTCTGGGTCCTGGGGGCAGCCGTCCCAGCCGCCCTGCCCGGCATGTGCAGAGGAAGAAGAGAAAAACACATTCACTAGAACACACACACACACACACATACACACACACGCCCAGCCAGCCCTATTTGTAACGGAGGAGGAGATAGCTGGAGTTATGCATAGGCAGGAGAGGAAGCCGTGGCTGGCGCCAAGCGGAGGAGGAGGAGGACAAGGAGAAGGAGAAGACGGAGGGGGAGGCGGCAGCAGCCGCTGCCCCTCCAAGGACCTAGTCCACCGACTCTGCTCCCGCACCAGCCTCATGGCTGAAGTTCTGTTCCGGCAGGTGGGTCCTAGCGACCGGTTCGTCCTCCCTTCCCTTCCCTTCCCTTCTCTTCCCTTCCCTTCCCCAAGGCGGCTTCTTTACGGGTTGCCCCGCATCAATCCCCTGTCCCCACCCCAAGCCCCGGGTCGCCTCCAGATCAGAAGGGCGCAGGACCCCGCTTTCAGTAACGGGGAGGGTGTCGCAGGGGGCGAGGGGCGGGGGTGGGGGGCGCAGAGTGTAGCCTCGCCCTATCGGGGCAGCGTCCGGAGGCGGGGGGCGGTGAACAAACCCTTAAGGGAGTCTTAAGGACAGTTACTATTTCCTTTGGCACCAGGGGACGATCGTATGTCTCGGAGACGGGGAAAGAACACTGCAGGCAGGAAGGAGTCGAGATCAGACGAAGGAAAGTGTTGAATATTTATTCTTTCCTCTCTCTCTGTCTCTCTCTCTCTCTGTCTCTCTCTCTCTCTGTCTCTCTCTCTCTCTCACACACACACACACACATACAGAAACACACACTCCTCTTTGCCTCCTCTCTCTGTCTCACTGAAAACTTAGAGAATATTAAAACTTTAAGGCAATCTAAAAGAGAAAATGTTACAACACAACATGTGCTAAAGCTTGAAGGGACCTTAAAATCACCTAATTTTTTTTTTTTTGTGGCGACATAGACGTTCCCTGAGGTCACGCATCTAATAAGTTAGGACTTGAACCCAAATCTCCCGGCTCCCCTGCCAGTGTCCTTACTTCTACCACGCTTTTGCGAAGTTCTAAAAGTTTCACTTTGGTAGTTAATAGTTCCTGCTCAGCCGAACTTCCCAGAGATCTAAGGGGACGACTTCAGTCTAGCCGTCAAACCCTCTCATCCTCGCCCCATCCCCACAAACTCCAGTTCCCACCCTCCCGGCAGAAAAATAGAAAAATAAACCGACTGCAAAACTCTTGAAGGATGTCCAAGAGATATTAAAAGGAGCAAAACCCTAAAAAACGAAACAAAACAAAAAACACCTCCTAAAATGAATGGGATGGAATTGAGAGGGGGAGGAGGAGAAAGCCCAGAGGTTGGATTCAGGTTTCCTAAAGGCTTTGCCAGGAAGAGAGTGCAGCCATCAATTCTTTCCTTCATCTGTGCCCCCTCCAAAGCCCCAGCAGCAGTTAAAACCCCAAATCCTAAATGTTGCCCATCTTCACCTGAGTTCTTCAGATGGTCCCTACAGCTCTGTCTGGATGTTATCCAAGTACATCCTGAGAGGTGTGAAAAGGTAGCTTCAATCGGGCTAATATTTGTAGTTGTTAACCCTCCCCGAAAAGTTCCATCGTGGAACTTTATTTGGCAGCTTCCTCTGAGCTCACAACCTTGTTCATATATAGTTGATATAAAATAAATGCTTGTTGTCTGTTGAATGAATATTGAATGCCATGCTGTCAAATGAAGTGATTTGTTGGTGGTAATGTTTAATTTAAAAAAAATGTTACAAGGGAAGGCTTATTAGGGTGCTGTGGGAGCATTTCCTAAAATGACCAGGATATGAAAACAAAAGGCATCAATACACCTTTAAACAAATATATTGAATTGCAGTGCAACTAGAATAAAGTTCCCTCTTTGCCCAGGATGAATCTTGAACCTCAATTTCCCCATTTATAAAGTGAAGATGTTGGACCGGATGAAATCCAAGCTCCCTTCGAGAACTAAAATCCTGTAAATATATGGGGTGTCCTTTTTAATCTTTACATCTCCCACACCCAGCTCATATTAAAGGCCTTGTACATAGTAGAAGCTTAATAAATGTCTGCTGAATTTAATGAAACTAATGAAATTTAATGAATTTAATGAAATAAGACATTAAGGAATAAACTTGGATTTTCCAATTTCTCTCCCTCCCTCACTATCATAAATGGAATGAGTTATGTCAAAAGTTGCTCTGGAGTATAAGAAATTAGTAGGAAGGATAAAAGGAAACATGTATTTTTTACATGCCTACTATGCCAGACACTGCGATAAGCACTTCACAAATATTATCTCTTTTGATCCTCACAAGAACTTTGGGAGATAGGTGCTATTATTATCCCCCTGTTACAATTGTGGAAACTGAGGCAGACAGGGGTTAAGTAACTTGCTCAGGGTCACACCTAATGAGTCCTTGAAAAATGTGTACCCTAGACAAAGCCTCAAAGATGCAAGCCCTTACTTTTGAAAATGATACACCAGGTATATTACTGTCACTCCCCTGTCCTTCTTCTCTTAATTCCTCCCTCCACTTTGAACCTTCACCTTAACACAAACACTTCACATGTCACAAAATAAGTTTGCTATAGGCCACAGAGAATAGGATTTTTCTGACATGAAAAATATATGCCTTTATAGAATTAGAATGTAAAGAGTGGAAAGAGACCTTGAGCGAGAGAAGAGACTTGAGAACATAGATTTATTAGAACAGAACATAGTTCATGTAAAAGAAATGGGGATGGGGATTGCCACATAAAAGAAACTGATGCATGAGTCATCAGAAGGAAGTGGTTGTAGTGGAAATCAGGACACTTGGGTACCTGTACAGGCCCTACCAATAATTGGCTGTGTGACTTTGGCAAGTCACTTCACCTTCTCAGGACTCAGTTTCTTCATGGAAACTGGAGGGAAAATGAGGGGGTAGACTTGATCACTAAGATCCCTCATATTTTGGGATATTATTGACAGAATCTCACAGAGTCAGAAGCTTAGCTTAACTCCATTTCCTGATGACTTTGTTCTCCAAGGGCATCATTAAAAGATAAATAGGCACATTCTTCCTGGACTCAGAACAAGCAAAAGCCATTCACCCACTGAAGCATTAGGTGTCTCTATTAGACTAAAGGCCTCGATTCCTTGATTGTAAAGATTGCTAAGCCCTGAAATGGTTAGTGATTGGAGAGACACTTTGATCTCAAGAAGGAAATCTAGAACACAACTGAAAATCTCAAGTTGAGTGAAGATAAGGGTAGGAGATACACTGATTATTTAAGGAAATTGCATCACAAATACTTATTCATTTGTTACATTTTACCTAGAATTCTCTGTATTCGTAAAGGACATTTGAATCCAAAAAGAGGAAATTTTGAAAGAGGCACCAGCGAACTAATATAATGGTTTTTGTTGGAGGAATCTTTAATATAGAAGCAATTGGCATTGCTTTGAGAGACATCATGGCATAGTGGGATGAGATCTAAACTGGGCTTGAGGAGATCTGAACTCTAGCTTTGTGATTTTGATTGTTTATTTTCCGTCTCTGGACCTCAGAGTTTCTGTTTGTCCATTGGAGATGATAATCACTGCCCTTACCTCACCAGATTGTGGTGAGGAAGATAATGAGGTGATGGGTAAGAAAGTGCTTCAGAAAGAGCCCTAGCCTTGCAGTAAGAAAGTCTGGGCTTTTGCCTTGGCTCTGACCTTTGGTAGTTGCATGAGGTTAGACAAGTTTCTCTTTGAAACTTAGCTTCCTCTGTAAAATAAAAAAGGTTCGACTAAGTGTTCCTTAAGGTTCCTTCCATATCTGAGATCCTTGTTTATGTGTTCTAACATTCTGTGTTCTACAGATCCTTCCACCACTAATATTCCATTATGAATAACCTATTCTATTATTCTATTATTAACCTTCTATTAGGAAGGTCTCTGCCAGCTTTAACTTTTTGTGTTCTAAGGCTCTTCCAGTTCTCACATTCTATGTGTTGGAAAGTTCCGTCCAGCTCCGACAGTTCTATGTCCTAAGACTCCTTCTAATTCTAACATTCACTGTTCTAAGACCCTTTCCAGTTCTGATATTCTATGTGCTAAGGTTCTTCGAAGAAGCATGTTCCATGATCTATGTAAGGGAATATTATTATCATGTATTTAGTACCAGGGAAATGAGTATTTCTCCAACTTAATGCTAAATAATATTGCCACTCAACAAAAGTTTAAAAAGAAAGGAATTAATATCAGTGTAGCTACACTAAGAAACAGAGCTTGGATTCAAGTACAGTTGAAAAGTGCAAAACAAACTAAATAATCGACCAACCCTCAGAAGAATATCCCTAGGGTTAGGGGAGGATTTGGTACGTAAAGCCAGTTAACCTCTGGTTTCCCAGACTTATTTTGCCCTTGATCAAAAAATACCTCTGAAGGCCAGGGAAGGCCATGTCTGAACTGAAGGCAAGAGATACTGCACTGCCAGTAATGCAGAAGGAGGATGGGCCTGGTACATGGCCAAGGCCAACCTTAGGAGTAAGCAAAGGAGACCAATTAGCCCCTGTCCCAAAAATAACAAACTTAACTCCTATTGTTGAAGCTTCCTTCCTTTGGATCTTGAAAGCTATCTTATCTTCCAGAGTCTCTTATTAAAATGACTAGGCCATCCAGAGGAAAGAAAAACCCCAAAGCCTTTATTAACTAATGTTATATGCAGTGTGATATAGTAGAAAGAATTCTGAACTTTAAGTCAAGAGTCTTGGCTGCCACATTTATTAGTTTTGGAAATTCTCAATTTTCTTATCTGTAAGATGGGGATTATAATTCTTGGACTCCCTACCTCACAGGGATGTTGTAAGAAAAATACTTTGTAAGCCTTAAAGCAACACAGAAATGTGAATTATTATCAGTTATCATAGATTGCTAGAGCCATACGGGATAGATTGAGAGCTGGAAAAAAGCTGAGAGGTCATCCAGTCAAATCCTTTCATTTATAGAAGAGGAACCAAGGCCCAGAGAGGTTAGGTGAATTACCCAAAGTTACATAGCTGGTAGCATCTGAAATAGGATTTGAGCTCATATCTTTCTGACTCCTGGCCCAGCATTCTATCCATGCTGCTTCTCAATATAAATTGTCGGGCCAGAGAGCATAGAATGTTCTAGTAGCAGGGACCCAAGAACATAGAATGTTAGAACAGAAAACAAAGAATGTTGGAACTACATGGGAACTTAGAGATCATTTACTTTAACCTTGTTGTGCAGAAAAGGAGACTGAAACCTAGAGATAGCATGGTTAGTGGGGAAATGCTGGATTTGGAAT